TCCGCACTGCCAAGGGTGGGGAACTAATTCTTTGGGAGGAGGCGCTGATTACCAAGTCACTGCGAAAATGAGGCTACAGGACCCCACTGGGAAAACAGCCTCCTTCACTCTCTACTCAGCCCTTCCTGTAGTGGAGTCTGTCCGTTTGGCCGGCAGCTCTGGCTACCAAGTCGCAGCAGAGAGGTGACTGCGTGTCTCAGCTTGAAGAGCAGCGTCCTTGGTCACTAGACACTCTTAAGGGTGCGTGCTGTCTCTTTGGTGCAAAATAGCCCTGCTGTGGAGATTCAACAATTGGGCTCCTGCGGTCGTGGGTTTCAGATATACACCCACACACATACACACTCGCAGAAAGAGAGTAAAAAGGAGGAAGAAGGGAAAGAGAAGGAAAGAAGAAAAATGTATATATATATATACGTATATATATATATACAAAAAACAAAGTGTAAGAATTAAGAGAAATATGTATATAGAGAAGGAAAGAAAAAAAGAAAAAAAGAAAAGGAAATGAAAAGAAAAAGAAAAAAGGAAAAGAAAAAAGAATAGAAAAAGAAAAGAAAAAGAAGAAAGAAGAAAAAGAAAAAAAAGAAAAAAAGGAAAAGAAGAGGAAAAGAAAAAAAAGAAAAAAACCCACACAAAATGACCCCTTTACTCCGCCTGGAGGCAGAGGCAGGTCCTTTGGCGCGATGCGTGGGTAGGGGTCAAGTCGCGTGGCAAAGGGGCTAGTTATGTCGTCTAGGATCCCAGCTATTCAAAAAATTTAGAAGAAAAAAAAATGGCCCCTTTACTCTGCCTAGTGGTGGAGGCCGGCCCTTTAGCGCGGTGTGTTGGGGCGGAGGTCGAATCGCCGGGCAGAGGGGAACTTATGTGTTCCGGGTCACAGTTCTATAGGCAGTCTCCCTCAGTTCACCCTCAGTTCCCCGTCACCTTTGCGGACAGCGCCAGCGACTGAATGGAACAGGGCCGCCGGAGACCGCCTGGAAACTCGGCAGCAATATCGCTCTTTCTCCCTTTTCTGCCCTTTCGGAGGCGGGGCTTGAGTCTGTGGCTGGGACAGACTGTCCGCAGATTCGGGAGAAAAGGTGGCTGCGCGTGCTACTCTCCTCTCAGGGCGCGACCAGCTCTGCCGCAGAGGCAGCGACTATGACTCAGGCGGATGCCCGGGCAACAAGTCCCCGTGGTCGCAGGCTTTGGGGTCCCCGAATTGCGGCTGCCCACACCCTGCTAGTCAGCGCTGAAACCGACTGTACCGGGAGGGCATGCGGAGCCGGGGTCCACCGTTGCCGACTCCTGGAGATGCTTCCCAGGGCTGCCCGCCGAGCTCGCTGCCCCCCTACCCACGGCAACTCTGGATGGATCCGCGGGAGGACTCTGTGCTGTGTCCCTCCCAGCGCCCGCCGAACTTTCAGCGATTTCCACGGGTAGAGCCTCTTTTATGGAGTTCGCCTCCCCCGATCTAGTCCTGGTGGTCTCCTGTGGCAAGAAGCTGCCTCCAAACTCTCCCCTGTGGGCTTGGGCAGAGTCCGATCCGGGAAGCGCCCGCTCGGGCCGGTCCCTCCCCTCCGATGCTGACCCAGCGCCGTGCTCCGGCGCGTTCAAAATGGACCCCGCTCCTGTCTCGGCTCCCCACCGCTTGTCAGTCTGTGCTACCACTTCACACTGACTTCTGGCACTTCCCTGCCTGCGTGGGAGTGGGGTTTGGTAAAGGAAGAGTCGTCTTCCTGTGAGTCAGATCTCAGTGCCCGGGCCAGCCCGCCACCGGGAGCGGCCGTCCCGCGCTGCCCTTCCCCTTTGTCCCGCACTCTCTGGAAATTTGCGAGCGCTTTTCCAGTTCACCTTATATCCGCGGGACTGCTTGTCCCTCGCTGCTTTTCTGTAGATTCACAAAGCTGATCCTGTAGGGGAGCGCCTCACTCGCATGTGGATGTCCGTGTTCTTCACCTCCCACTCTGGGAGCAGAGAGCCAGGAGGTCGCCCCTAATCCGCCATTTTCAAAACCGGCCCACATGGTTTTTTGATGCTTATTGCTTTTATCTGTATTGGTTTCCCCCTTCTGTGTTTTGTTTTTGTGTTCCTGTTATTGTCGTTTTTCTAGCATCTGGACTTGAATGCTTAGTTCAATTATATTGAATCCTTTTTATTAATTAATTACCTGAATCATTTAGGGTTGCTATTTGTCCCACATGGCTTTGGCCATATCTCACAGATTTCTTCTCTGTTAGGTTGGAGATGATTCAATACCAGGGTCAGAGTAGCTTCTTAAAAATGAGTCAGATAGCTTTTCATGCTTGGAATAGACCATAATATGGTAATTCTATGTTTCATGAACATTAAAATATAAGCTTTGTCCATAAAACACTGCAAGCCTGGAGTCCTTCTAGAGAAAAGTATTTTAATTTCTTGGATTCTGGTGTCTGAGAGTTGAAAAAAGACATCTCAGTGTAGGTTTAATCCACATTTCTCAAATTGTCAGGGAGGTTGACCATCTCCTGCTGTGTTTAAGAGCCACTTGTATTTTTTTTTTCCTGTGAATTTGTGTTCATGCGCTTGGCCCCTTTTTCTGTTGGACTGTTTTTTTTTTTAATAATTTTTTCAATGGATATCAGTTAAATTAGCAATGGAAAACCAGTTAACATACATATATACACATCCTCACATCTTATTTATCCACCTCCCAGTGCGGAAAATTACAAGGTGGTAAATTGCATGCTCTCAGATCTTTCTTCAACTAAAATTTACTGAACACCTACTGATGTCAGGTGACTGAGGCAGACAAAGTCTCTGGCGTCACGGAGCTCACGTTTTAGTGGGGAAGACAGGCAATAAGGAAGTAAACGAAATCCTATAATATTATGATTTCAGGCAGTGGTAAGTGCTAAGAAGACAAGACAGAGTAAGTGGTTAGTCACAGTGTTACACTCCTTTAACAAATGATTAGCGTCTTCATTTCTTTTTTCTTTCTGTGTGCTCATGTGTGCACACCTGTGTACTGTTCTTCTCCAGATTGATGTCAGCCATATCGATTTTAAAGAATCAACTGGTACGCAGGCCGTGTGTTCCGCTGCTCTTAAACATTTTGAACGACATAGGAATTTTCTCTTTCTTGCAGTTCTGATGAAATCATCTGGGCCTGATTTTGTTTCCAACTCACACTCTCTGGTGACCTACAACTCCCCTCTGGTTTTAGTGTAAACAAATTTTCTATCTCTTCTCAAGTCAATCTTGGAAGTTATTATATGCCTACGACATTACCCTTTCATCTGCATTCAAAATTGTTTTGCATTTTAAACACTTAGTCTCCATCCCCTCTCTCCGTGCTAACCTTGTCTAGTTTTGTGACACCATTGTATCTTTTTTTTTTATTTCAGCATATTATGGGGGTACAAATGTTTAGGTTACGTCCATTGCCCTTGCCCCCCCACCCCCGTCAGAGCTTCAAGTGTGTCCATCCACCAGACAGTGCGCATCACACTCATTATGTATATATATACACCCATCCCCTCCTCCCCCCTCCCATCCGCTGGACGCCCCATGAATGTTATTCCTACATGTGCACTTAGGTGTTGATCAGTTAAAACCAATTTGATGGTGAGTACATGTGGTGCTTATTTTTCCATTCTTGGGATACTTCCCTTAGTAGAATGGGTTCCAGCTCTATCCAGGAAAATACAAGAGGTGCTATATCACCATTGTTTCTTATAGCTGAATAGTACTCCATGGTATACATATACCACATTTTATTAATCCACTCATGTACTGATGAGCACTCGGGTTGTTTCCACATCTTTGCAATTGTGAATTGTCCTGCTATAAACATTTGAGAGCAGATGTCTTTTTTATAGAATGTCTTTTGTTCTTTTGGGTAGATGCAACAGCGTCGTATCTTAATCACACAACCGTTTCGTCCCGCACGCAGGTTCAGCGGGCCAGGAATTCAGGCAGGGCACGAGTGGGGACTTGTGGTCTCTACTCCGCAAGGTGTGCGGCCTCGGTGGGGAAGGCTCCAGCACGTGGGGGCTGGAACCCGTCAAGGCCTCATTCCCTCCTCACTCGCCTGCGGTGGCTGGGCCCAGTGGACCGGCATAGCCCCGTGTGGCCCCTCCACGCAGTGTAGCTTCCTCGCAGCCTGCCGGCCCCAGGCTGTCCACCTTCTTCCAGGCAGCTCAGGGTAGCCCGAGCGCGTATTCCAGGGAACACTCCAGAAGCTGCACAGCCGTTTGCCACCGAGCTCCGAAGTCACACGGCATCACTCTCACTGTATTCCACCAGTGGAAGCGGTCCCACGCACTCCCAGATCCAAGGGACGGGACCCAGACCCCGCCTGGCACCAGGAGGCCGTCAGGGCCATCTTGCACGAGAGCACGTGGGGTGGGCCACGGTCCCTTCCGTCCCTGGGGAGAAAGGCACCCGGAAAGGCCACACCGCCGTTATCTCTACCCTATGCATAGGTCTGGACGTGGTGGTGGAGCCACTGTCCTCACTTCACCTGAGAATGTTCTCTGTGAACTCAGCAAGTAAAAGAATTCCTACACGAGCAGACGTTGGGATGCCACCTCCCTTCTCTGGGCCTCCCTTTCCGCATCTAGGAGATGGGGGTGATGACGGCATCTCATGCACAGGGCGATTTGGACAGCGAGTAATTAGAGACACACAACTGCTCCAAACACTGGCCAGCGCCCATAAGGTGCTCCGCTACTTGTTATGAGTCTCCCACGAGGACAGGGGCTGTGGTAACAATTCGTGGGGCAGGCAGGGTCTGAGAGGGACCGTGGAGGACATAGAAAGGATGGGAGGTGAGGTCTCCATGCCAACCAGCTGTCCTGCAGGGCCTGGCACGCGAGAGCCACTCGGGGAGTATTGGTGAAACGAGCCGAGGAACCTGATGGCAGCAGGAAAACCGGGCAGAGCTGGACACCTGTCGGGTCCACCTTCGGGACAGCCCCTCCCACAGGAAGAGGAGGAGGAGAAGACAAGGCATCTTTGCTCGGAGGCAGGAGTTGCTGTCACCAAGAGCAGACCTTTCTCCAGCTGAGGAGGCCTCTTGGGGCTCCTTTCATGTCCTTATTCCTTAGGCTGTAAATGAAGGGGTTGAGCATAGGAGCCACCACTGCATACAACACTGTGGCCATGGAGTCCTCAGCTGTGTAGGAGGAGGAAGGCCTCAGATAGACCCCCAACAGGGTCCCGTAGAGCAAGGACACCACCGCAAGGTGAGAACTACAAGTAGAAAAGGCTTTACACTTGCTCTGCGGAGAACGCAGTCTCAGGATGGCTGAGAAAATGTACGTGTAGGAAAGAGAAATAAGGAGGAAGGGAGTGACAAAAAGAATGCTCTCTAGGGTGTAAACAACCAACTCACTGATGTGGGTATCTGAGCAGGAAAGCTTCAGCAATGCATACAGCTCACAGAAAATATGGTGAATTCTCATGCTTGCACAGAATGACAACGTATCCATAAGGAGGGTGTGGATCAAGGGGTAGACGTCTGTGACAATCACAGCCACAGACGCTGAGGTGATACCGAATTTGGGGCTCACGGTTGTGGCATAGTGAAGGGGGTGACATATGGCTACAAATCTGTCATACACCGTCACTGCCAAGAGGGTATTGTCCAGTTTGAGAAACAAAATGAGAAAATACATCTGAGTGAGGCATCCAGTGTAGGGAATGGATTGGCTCTGAGTTTGGATGTTGAGCAGCGTCTTTGGTATGGTGACAGAGGTGAAGCAGATGTCGACACAGGACAGGTTGGCTATGAAGAAGTACATGGGGGTGTGGAGGTTAAGGGTAGAACTTATGGGCCAGGACGATGAGCAGGTTGCCCAACACGGTGACCAGGTACATGGATAGGAACAGGCTGAAGAGAAGAGGCTGATGCTCAGGCACCTCTGACAGTCCCCGGAGGAGGAATTCTGAGATGATGGTTACATTGCCTCTCACCATGGATTCCGGTTTCTATAAATACTCATTGGAAATACATCTGTCAACGAGAGCAGAGGCAACCTGAGAAAACATGCATGGCATGAAATTTACTGTCATTGGCTGAAATCATACTTCGTGATGCTTGTGGCAGCATCTCCAACTGTAAGGACAGTCACCGGGAGTCTGAGGGGGCCGGGGGTGGGGTGCTTCTGAGACTCTCTCTGTGGCTGACCTCGGTCAGGACCTCCTCTCGCTTCCCCGGAAGGAAAGAAGAACCAGGCAGAGAAGAAGACAAAGAGAACTGAAAATAAGGCCGGGGGCATGGGGAGAGTGGGGAGAGACAGCAAGGGCAGTGGACTTGTCACAGTGGGAACCCCCCACAAGAGGAGTATGGTTGGATCCTTATGGCCCTTTTTACTTTATCTATGTCGGGGTCTGGGTGGTGACCATTAAGGTAAAACCTGTGTGTGTGTGCGCGTGCACTTAGACGGAGGCATATATACACGTCTGGAAGGATATTCACCAAAATGCTAACTAACAGTGGTTATCTCTGGGGTGTTAGATCTTAACTTGCATCTTTTTTCAACAATAAACATGTATAAATTTTCTAAACTGTGCTACGTGGATGTTGACAGGCCTTTCAAGAGGTTTCTGTGGTGGACAACGTTTGAGGCACAGGCACAATTGGGGCTCACACTCAAAGCATTGTCATACAAAAGAGCATGTCTAAGAACTTATGTCCCTGGGTCTTTGTCTCACCTTCTTGGGTTTATGTCATGGAATCCACAAAGGCCACATGCTCATGTGGTGTGATTGCACTAGATGGACAGATCTACACTCATAAAGCTAAAATCCAGATGAAATGGAAAACCGTAAATATAAAATATGATTTTAAAATGTTGACTCAAGAAAGGCTAGATGATGGCCAGACAAATACCCATGGGAGAAACTGAAAAAGATGTCATGTGTCTCCACCTGAAAATAATTACTCCATGATTTTGATCCAGGCGTTTTTAAGAGCAAAGTCTTTAAATTCGTCAGATTGTCAGCTCCCTAACCCCCTTCTCAAATTCTAAAAGTCTGCAAAGGAAGGAACCACGTCTATCTGGTTCACTGCTGAATCCCCGGAGCCTCAAGCCTGCATAACACTGAAACTAAAACCAGGCAGCAGCAGCAGCATACGCACAAAAGGATGGTGAGGCAAAAGTCAGTATGCTGAAGGGATAATGCAGCAAATAGAAATATAAGAATGATGGATATTATGACTCCTACTGATGCAATTAACCACACTAATTGATGGAAGGAGAAAAACCATATTATAAATCTAATGGATGCTAAAATGGAGCTTCTAAAATCTGACATTCCTTCTTGATTTTTAAAACCCTTAGTGAAACTAGAATAAAAGTCTATTTTCAAAGCACCAGAGTCTGAACATATTCTCCCCATGCAAATTGCCTCACCCAAACCTCCCCCTGGCATCCCAACCCTTTCCCTGTGCTCTCTGGAACTCATATAATGTGTACGCGATCTCTTCTAAAGGCATTCCTCTGCCCTCCGCCTTGATGGGACCTTGACTCCTCTGTCCCCGAGGGCACTGCCTTCTCCCAGCCCTCTCCAGGGAAGACTGTCTTTTCCTCTCACAACCCACAACCTGTATACCTCATGGGCAGGAGGCAGATTCAGTGACCCCCCTCCTCCCTCCCAGTGCTACTTTCCAACCCAGTCTTTCCTCTACCCTTCAAAAAGAAAAGCCAAGAAATGACATCAGCAAAAATAGCAGAAAAGGAAGCTCCAGGGTCCTGTCCCTTCACAGAAATACTGAAGCAATAAACAAAAACTGTCAGAATCAACTTTGTCAGAAATCATAGAAATAGCCAAAGATTTCCAGCAACCAAGAAAATGATAAATCAAGAAAAAGGTGATTATCACTTCTCGGCCTTTTGGCTAAGATCAAGTGTGAAGAAAAAGGCGACTTCACATTGTTCGGGAACTTTATGGTGCTTTAACTTCACCTTGCTCTACTTTGCTCCTTGGGCAGTGGTGGTTTTGAAGATGACAGCCCATATTCCTGGTTGGGCACTTGGTTCTATAGGGAGTAGAGTGGACCGTGCTCCCAAGGTATTACATTCATTTGAACATGTCTATAGAATTCTTGAGGGACTGATACAAACTTCTTTTGTTTCTTTCAATCAAGTCAATACTCTCTCAAGATGGAGAAGTACCTATGCAGAGGGAACTCCTGGTATGCACTGAAATATAATTAAATAAACTGATCCTTCCTGGAGCAAAAGATTACTGTTGGGGCAAACAACAAGTACACTGAAAGCCTTGGAGGAAGAACTAAGGAGAGATTTACTTTATGTAATAAGGGCTTTGAGAAGCTTTCATGTACAACAAGGAATCTAAAATTCCACACTCATGCCCAGGGCTGGACCAAAGAGGAAGATAAACTTTTACCTCCAGCTGATCTTTAGGCTCTGCACAACCAGGAATGTAAGGCTGTAGCAAGTTGTACATAGACTTGAGTGTTGAAGGAGTGCCCCAACACACAGCCATTCTGCAAAAACTGAAAGAGTAATTGTTTTGTTTTGTTTTGTTTGGCTCCAGACATTTAAGAAAATGTCTGTCAAACCACTAGCTAACCATAAGCTAAATTAAGAGAGACTTCAGAGATCACACATAACAAAGAATACAATTTTAAAAAAACACTTTGGAAAAGTCACCAAACAGAGAAGCAACTACAATCCACAGCAGGCACAACAACAAACTCTCTGAAAGGAGGAAGAATCTATTTTCAAAATGCCACATTATATTATTCAAAATGTCCAATTACAAGCAAAAATAATGAGCATGTAAAGAAAAAAGGAAGTGTAGCCCATTCGCAGGAAAAAAATGAACAAAAACTCTCTCTAAGGAAGTACAGACATTAGGCTAACTAGACAAAAACTGAATCAACCGTCCTAAATTTGGCCAAAGAGCTAAAATGGATAAACAACTAAAGGAAACCACAAGAAGGGTATTCAACAAATGAAGAATACCAATAAAGAGGTAGAAATTATTAAAAAAGGAATCAAATAGAAATTATGGAGCTAAAAACTACAATAATGAGAATGAAAAATTTGTTAGAGTACCCTCATAATACCCTGAAACAAACAAACAAAAATTTGTTAGGTTTCAAAAGCAGATTTGAGCAAGCAAAAGAAATAATCAGCAAACTCGAAAATAGAAATCAAGACATTCCCCCAAAAAACAAAAGCAGAGAGATTTAATCACTAATAGTCCTGCCTTAAAAGAAATGCTATAAACAATGAGTGTGATGCGCACCACCCAGGGGATGGACACGCTTGAAGCTTGGACTTGGGGGGGCAGGGGGGCAAGGGCAACCTACGTAACCTAAACATCTGTACCCCCATAATATGCTGAAATAAAAAAAAATAAAAAAATAAAAAAAAAGAAATGCTAGGAGGAGTTCTTCAGGCTGAAATGAAGAACATGGCACAATAACTCAAAGCCAGAAGAAATAATAAAGAACACTAGCAAAAGTAGCTATATAGATAAACATAAATGTCAGCATTAATGCATCTTTGTTTTGTAACTCCTCTATTTTCCTATATTATTTAAAATTTTATGTTATTAAGTATGGAATGGCTGATTTCCTTAAATACTAAGTTTGACAGTTGATATTTCTGAAATTTCACTTTGACACTTCTTGTTTTTTTTTTATTGTGAAGGTACATTCTCATTCTTTCAAATACATGTTTTGGCTTGTGATTTTCTTTCCAATTTTTTTAGAGCAATTTTTGTGAAACCATGGGTAAGTAAAAAATTTGTGTTATTTTTGAATATGAGTTCCATCGTGGAACTAATGCAGTGCAGACAGCTTGAAATATAAACAAAGTGTTTGGGAAGGATGTGGCTAATGAACACATGGTACGTGGACGGTTTGAGAAGTTCCATTATGGTGATTTTAATTTTGAAAATGAGCTACATGAGCGACCTGAGACCAAGGTGGATAATGATAAGCTGAAAGCTGTAGTGGAAGCAAATCCACTTCAACCTATGCATAAATTAGCAGCAAGGTTTGAAGTTACTATTCCAACAATATTGGGCCATTTGAAACAAATGGGCAAAGCAAAGAAGCTGGATAGATGGGTTCCACATGAATTAAACAAGCATCAGAAGAGAAATCGTCTGGAAGCTTGCCTTTCTTTGCTGTCACAACATAAAGGGCAAACAATTTCTCCATGGTATTGCTACATGTGGTGAACGATGGATTATTTTTTATGATCTCAAGCATTCGGCACAATGGTTGGATAAAGATGAAGTGTTGAAACACAGTCCAAAACCAAACATTCATCACAAAAAGCTAATGGTGTCTGTTTGGTGGCCAAGCGCTGGCATTATCCACTACAGCTTCACGAAACCTGGTCAATCAATTACAGCAAATGTCTACTGCAACCAATTGGACGAAATGATGAGGATGCTTGAGATTAACCAGCCAAGACTGGTCAATAGAGACAGGCCAATCCTCTTGCAAGATTGCATGTCACAAAAAACAATGCTGCTCAAACTACGGTAGCTGGACTTGGAAACTCTCTGTCATCCACCACATTCACCAGACCTTGCACCAACTGACTGCCACTTCTTCCAGGCTTTGGACCACTTCTTCCAGGCTTTGGACCACTTCTTGCAAGGAAAAATATTCAATTCTCAACAAGCTGTGGAAAATGCCTTTCACGATTTCCTCACCACTCACTCTCCAGGCTTCTTCGCTGCTGGCATAAACAAGCTACTATTAAGATGCCAAAATTGTGTCGAGATTTCAGGTGCATACTTTGATTAATTG